TCATCACTTTATCTGAACCGCAATCCAAGAGTGACCACTTTGTTGTAATGAAACTCTTCATGCTGCCCTTAAAAGCTGTAGGAATTGTGGTGATCTTTGCAGGATCAGGCAGTAATTGAAGATTTTACTGCCTTTTATATTACCATGAATACACAATTACTGTAGGAGGGTCACAAGCACAGGCTCTACACACCCACCTAATTTCTCAGGCAAGGTTTTATAAGCAGAATCAAACTCCTTGTTAGGATCTGAGTGAGCTTCAGGTCTGAGAACAGGAATCTTATATCCAGAGTCCTGTGCCTTAGCCATAAGATCTTCCTTCCCCTAGATAAAAATGGTACATTCCTGCATGCCTCAGGAATTTTTGGGAGGAAAGCCTGAGCTGTGTGACAGACAAGAGATAAAGAGTCAGCAGAAACAGAAACACTTCAGCATCTCCAGTTCCTGCCACACTCCTGTCATGCTTCCATGACCTGTGACTAGTCCAGACCTGTGTTTTTGGCACACACCTGCCAGAGTGAGCCCTGTCTACTTTCCCTACCTTGAGTTTTTATCTCTACCCACCAACCATTTCCAGACAGCCAGACCAGCACAGCATTTTCACTGCTTGTGCTTTTTCTACGCAGTTTTCTTGCTGTTTTCCTGCTGTTACATGCAGGGGATGAAGGATTCACCCACCACTTCCAGCAGTTCCAGGGAGTTTCCAGCAGAGTATCCGCTCATCCCACCACCTTTTGCTCTCAGCAGAAAATGATCGAGTCACACATTTTGATCCTTGAACACCTATTTGTTTTCCACCCTCCTTGTGTTTGCGTGGGTATCCAAACCCTGGCGTGCTTGCAGCAGTGAGCAGGGCTGTGTTTCCCGGTATCCACAGCACGGGTGTGGTACAACCTGAGACCCGAACGCGCTCACGGCTCTTACTGTGCCCTCAGCCTTGGGGGTCACTTCGGAATTTGCAGCGCTGTGTCCCCCTCCGGCTCGATGCCGAGGAGCCGGGGGGTGCCGGGGGCGGTGGGTGCCCGCTCCCCTGCGGTGGTCGCTAGATGTCAGCACGGCACCGCCAGCCCGGCCCCGGGGACGCCACAGACCCCGACAGACCCGGCGGGGACAGACCCGGGAGGGACAGACCCGGCGGGGACAGACCCGGGAGGGACAGACCCGGGAGGGACAGACCCGGCAGGGACAGACACGGCGGGGACAGACCCGGCCGGGACAGACACGGCGGGGACAGACCTGGCAGGGACAGACCCATCCCAACAAACCCGAGAGGATCAGACCCCGGTCCGAAAAACCCGAGAGGAACAGACCCATCCCAATAAACCCGAGAGGGACAGACCCCGGCCTGACGAACCCGAGACGGACAGACCCATCCCAACAAACCCACCGCTCCCGGGAGAGACAGACTCTGGGAGGGACAGACCCCGGGAGAGACAGACCCCGGCCCCACAAACCCGGCAGGGACAGACCCCGGCCCGATAAACCCGAGAGGAACAGACCTATCCCAATAAATGCGAGAGGGACAGACCCCGGCCCGACAAACCAGGGAGGGACAGACCCCGGGAGGGACAGAGCCTGGCCCGATAAACCCGAGAGGAACAGACGCCGGTCCGAAAAACCCGGGAGGGACAGACCCCGGCCCGACAAACCTGAGAGGGACAGACCCATCCCAACAAAAACCACATGACCAGAGCATATTGGGCTTTCTTAAATTCTTAAACTTCCTCTCTTCTGATTTGTTCAAGTAATTTTGTTTGGTTCTTCTACTATCCGATTGGGGATAATAAAGATGGAGTTGTGTTTCTCACCTTTGCCCCCTCCTCTTTTCTTATAGGAAAAAAAAATCCATCTGTGAGTTTGTCCCTCAGTCAAAAAATGCTGTTATCCAGCTAAGCAAGTTTTTTTAATGAAAGTAGAAATCTTTGCAACTAATATTCTTATGCACTTTGAGAATAGGTCCAACTCCTGAGATCTTTATCTACATGTGATGGATAATGTGTAGATTGTAAATGTAAAGGTTTTTGCTTTTTACCTTTATCCTACCTCATTCCAGCCCTTTGGACTTTCAGGTAGTGGGCACTGACAGTGGGAGACCCACAATTTGTTTCAGACTTTAAAACTACAGCCAAAATTGAAGAAAATTATTTTGATTATTTTCTCCCTCTCTTTGCATTAAAACTAAAATAAATTGTAGTCAAGCTCTTGCTGTAGTAACAGGTGCTGCAACCTCCAAATGTATTTTTTTTTCCTCTGGAAGGATGAGTGCAGTCTCTGGGATCTGTATCCCTGGAGTAGCTCCCGCAGCAAAGGATGGGCAGTGGCCTTGGCAGGCTGTGCTGCTCCTGTACATGGCTCAGCTGGGAGAATTTCCCTTTGGAGGCAGTTTTTTCTTGTCAAACTGACAGAATTGAATTTATGGAGCCACATGTAGGGAATGCAGTAAGCAAATCATTGACACTGCCTATTATTTATGTAATGTTTGTTACTTGAAAGAGTCTTAGTGGAGGTATGGGTCCTCCCCTGAGGAACTTACAATACCTGTTATAATCACAGCTATTATAATCTGCTATTAATTATTAAATATTTTCAACAAGCTTTGAAATGTAAAACACTGGAAGAAACAAATCCCACTTTAAAGCTGGCAAATACTTAACAACATGTGATAAATTTATTTCTTGCTGTATATGTCCATTTTCCCCCAAAGCACTTGGAAGAGATTTTCTGCCATGATCTTCCACGGTCACTCCTTTCTGCTTTGTTTTTTTTTTTTAACAGCTGCAATTTGAGGAGAAGTCCAAAGCAAATTCTTCCATGTGCTCTTTTTGGTAGCACATTAAACCTGAATGGATTTCAGATTCATACAGGCTCCCAATGATTTCTCTCAGCTCTGTGTTTTGGAGTTACATATAAAGCATCAAACCCTCCTGCTCTGTTCTCCTGTAACTGATGCACCTCCCAAGCTACCCTTCAGTGTTGAAATAAGCCTTGAAGAACCAATCTGTTTAATAAACCATGGGAGAGCCTGTGTGAGAAGTGTTTGCTTATAATTTTCAGCCTACTTAGATGCACATGGCATTCTTAGAAAGCTGGCAGTACTTGCAGCATGTCTTTACAACCAGAATTCCTGAAAGTTTATAGCACCACTGATCCTTCTCACTGCAAGATCTTAACACATTACCAAAAAAGTAAATCATTTCTACCAGGGGACAATCCTGCTTTTAACATTTCCTCTACATTTTTCTAATGGAAATTACTTATGCCAGTGATGATATTCTGGTACCTCCTTCCATTTGTCTGTTAAGACTTGGAGTGTAGGACTGGCTCCAGAGATGAGAAGAAGTCATGCTGTGCTCACTTGCATTTGAAAGTCACAGTGAATATATAGAGTGTCACCATGAATATATAGAGTGATCTGTCCCAGGAGTAGCTAAGTGGTTCAATTCTCATAAAACAATTAAGTTACTAAAATCAGTAATTGGTCTTCATGGTTGGATAAGCCCGATAAGGGGAGCAAAAGGGAGATGTGACCATATTGGAACATTCAAACACTGGAGGTGAGCTAAGAGAACATCAGTGAAAAGTGTGATGGACAAACCTGCTGCACACTCTGATGCCAGGCTCGGACAGAGCCAGTTTTATGTGCTCTACCCCTCCAAAAAGCAGAAACACAACCTCCCAGATGTGCTCTCACAGAGCAGGGGAGCAGCTTCGTTCAGGCAGCAGCTCTGTGAGCACTGAGGGTGAATGTGTCACTGCTCATCTCTGCTCTCCTGGCTCTGATGTGGAGAAGGAAGGGAGACAAGCTCGTCATTTCATGTTAGCACACGGCACACAGGGAGGTGATGGGAAGAGGACAAGACAACTACATTTTGGAGAGGGCCTGAGAAAAAACAAACCACATTCTGGAAAAAGCCTCCTGTCACTATAACACCCAAGCTATTTACTACAGCAGATTATCTGCCAGGTGCATCTGCAGCAACTGGTTGCATCTGCCTGCAGGCAACATCCACCTGCTCACATCTATGTGTCACTGCACAGGATTCAGGATTCATCCCAACCTTTCCAAGCAGACGGTGGAGGGGCCTGGACCAGGCACATGTCATGTATGGAGAAAGCCTGCAATGCCCTTGTGCTATCTGTAAAACAAACCTCAGTAATAGGAAGCAGTCTCCAAACTTTAGAAAAGAAAGAAATTGGGACCTCTTCCTGTTGCAATTAAAGTTTAGACCCTTGTTGTCATCTTGACGCAGGAATATGGGACTAAACAACCTGATTGTCCTTCTCCATGCAGCTCCACCTTTGCCAGTGGTTGCCTCAGATTGTGCTTGAGGTTCCTCCATGGATCAGACACCACCAGTCACAGCGATGATTCCTCCCACCCTGCAGGCCATGGTGTGCTTTGTTTCCTGTCCCAGTGTCACACTCTGTTGCTGGTACCCACACAGGGAGGACACAGGGTCCCTTCAGAGAAGAGCTGAGTCATCATGGATCTAACCTGTTCCTGAGAGGAGCACTGTGAGCCCCTGACGAAAATGGGAATAGATGGGACCTTTGCCTTGGCAATCTCCCTGCACAACAGGTGCCTCCTCTGTCAGCCCCACCTAAACCACCTGGACTGGATCTCAAGCACGGTGTGTGCCCTGGAGCTTCCCTGTGCTTCCAGCATCCAGGGGCAGTGCCTTAAACAGAGGGGATGCTCCAGGTCTGACCCTGCTTGTGTGGCAGCTTCTCCTGGGAAGGGAAGGGAAGGGAAGGGAAGGGAAGGGAAGGGAAGGGAAGGGAAGGGAAGGGAAGGGAAGGGAAGGGAAGGGAAGGGAAGGGAAGGGAAGGGAAGGGAAGGGAAGGGAAGGGAAGGGAAGGGAAGGGAAGGGAAGGGAAGCGCGCTGCCCTGCGATTGGCGGCGGTGTCCCCGCGGTCCCTGTCGGCGATATAAGTGCGGCGGGGCCGTTCTGCGCTCACTGCCCGCCCCCAGCCCGGGCGCAGCGCCGAGCGGAGCGGAGCGGCGGGGCCGCCTCCTCCTCCTCCTCCTCAGCGCCCAGGCAGCGGCGGCCGAGCGGGATCGCCGGCGATGGCTGAGCTGAAGTCGCTGGGCAGCGAGGCGTACCTGGCGCTGGCCCCGGGCTACGGACCCTCGGCTTTCGCCTACGGGGCCGTGCGCGGGGGCGCCGAGGGCCCGCGGGGCTCCTACGCGGGGGGCGGCGGGGCGGACTTCCACGCCGGGGCGATGGGCAAGTCGGCGGAGAGCAGCGGCGAGCAGAGCGGCGACGAGGAGGACGGCTTCGAGGCGGGCGTGAAGGGCGGCCCGGGCTTCGAGCGAGAGGGGAAGCTGAAGGGGGGAGCCCTGGGCAAGAAGCCCAAGGAGCAGCGCTCGCTGCGCCTCAGCATCAACGCGCGGGAGCGGCGGCGGATGCACGACCTGAACGACGCGCTGGACGGGCTGCGCTCCGTCATCCCCTACGCACACAGCCCCTCGGTGCGGAAACTCTCCAAAATCGCCACGCTGCTCCTGGCCAAGAACTACATCCTCATGCAGGCGCAGGCCCTGGAGGAGATGCGGCGGCTGGTGGCCTACCTGAACCAGGGCCAGGCGCTGAGCGCCCCGCTGCCCGCCACCCTCAATCCTTTCGGACAGTCGCCCGTGTACTCCTTCGGCGGCGCGGCCGTGCCCGGCTGCCCCGAGAAATGCACTGCCTTCACAGGAGCCGCCTCCGCCCTCTGCAAACACTGTAACGACAAGCCTTGACTTCTGCTTTCTTCGGGCTTTTCCTTGTTTTTTTAGTTCTTTTTTTTTTTTTTTTTTTTTTTTTTTTTTTTTTTTTTTTTTTTTTCTGTGCACTTTTCTTTCCACTGCCATCAGCCCTGGCTTCCCTCCATCAGTTAAGTCTGGGTTTTCTTTTTTGTTCTTCTCTTAAATCTCCCCCCACCTCCCCATTTGGAAATATTTGGCAGTTCACGTGGACCCCCCAAAACACCCACTTTCTACTTTATTTAGTTCCCCTCTCACATGCAACTTTATCTGTAGAGTTATTTCCTTCCCAGCCTGTCAGTGGATTGTGAGCGTAATGTTGCTTTTCGCTTGCTCTGAGCTACAAAGTTTTTGAGCAGTTTCGAAACAGAACTATAGAAAAACAGAGAGGGAGAGAGATCTGGAAAAGGAAACCTCAGTGAATTTGCTTTGGCATGATCGACCTGTGTTAAAAATAGATTGAAAGGAGGGAGGGGAAGTAAAATCCAGCTACAAACTATGCAATGTTTCAGAATCATGGGCAGAGGGGGTTCTGTGTAGCCAGCTGGGGTTGGACTGCACCCGCAAACCCAAATGGAAATCATTTGGTCAGAGCTCACGGGAGGGGGGGAAGTCCAGTACTCTCGCTAAAACAACTGATGCTTCAAAGTAAGATGCTTTTTTTTTTTTTTTCTCTCTCTCTTAAAAAAATTAACCCGTTCTTGGACTGAGAGGAACCTGTGATTGTATGCTAATGCTTGCTGTTTGCCTGTTTCTCAGCTTGGTTAAGTTTTCCGGATGATTTTCCAAAGTCGTTGCTCATCATGATAAACAAAGCAAAAGGTGACTTAACATATTTATATGTATTTATAATAAATAAAAGACATGAATAACCACTTTCTCTGTCCTACATGTCTCTAAAACTAGCTGGCAGTCCCTGCAAAACCCCTGCTGAAGTTAGGTAAAGCAGAAATGGATGCGGCAGGAGCAGCCGTGTGAACTTAGGGGAATGATCAGAATACTTGGGAAAAGCTTGTGTGTATTCAGCTCCTTATCAGCAGGGGATTTGCATTTTTTTTCTCCAGTTTCTCCTGAATTACGAGCACACAAAAACCCGTTGCTTATGTCTGAGTTAAGCAGGCAGGGGTTTAGGTTGTGTATTCTGACATTTGCTGGGAATGCCGTGCCCTGGAAGTGGTGTTTGACTGGGGTTATTGTAGCAGCGAGCTTAGCTCTGAGCACACCCATGGAAAACATGGCAGGGAAGGAAATTGCTTAAAGACTCTGCTGATCCCTTTGGCTTGGTTTTCTGTTCTATCCACAGCTTAACCCTAGATCTACATCTGGGGTTTGGGCCACTTAATATCACGACTGAACTAATGATCTCTTGCCAAAACTGACTGTGTTTGTACAAGTTACAAAGTGCGTCTCTCGCTGGCTGAGTTTTCGGTGTCGCTTGTGTTGGTTTACTTTGGTTTTCTGCTTTATGTTGTTCAAAGCTTTGGTGCCTTGTATGCTTCACTAGTCATTATATAATAATAATAATAATAACAACAATAATTCAGGTGCATTCAGTGCTTTCTGTTGGGGTTGGAAATACCCACCCAATGTCAGAGCAACCACGTAAACTGGTACAGTCGCAGCCTCAGGGGCTCGAGCTGTCCGTGGCCATTTGTGTTAGGAGTGGGGTGTAACTATTTAGGGTTATTAAACCAATTTCCATGCCTGTCGCTAGTGTTATGCTAATTTGAAAAGGACTGCCATCCCTCTGAAGCGCTTGTCCATGGCACTTAATTTTAATTAATACATTTCCAAAAGACTTTTTGTGTTTGGAAAACGAAGTGTGTGATTAAGCCTTATTCATAAAGACATATGTTTAAAACTGGTTCCTGCTCATTTCCATTTTTATATCTTCATTTCTTTCCTGTAATTAAAAAAAAAAAAAAAAAAAAAAAAAAAAAAAAAAAAAAAAAAAAAAAAAAAAAAAAAAAAGAAAGAAAGAAAGGAAAAGGAAAAGGAAAGAACCCAGCAGTTTTACAGAACAGTTTATCTCTTGTACATTTTTCTGTAAAAGAAAATTTTGAAAATGCTCTTAAAGCACGTCTGGTGAAGTGAAAGCCAACCAAAACCCCTACTGGAGCAAAAACGACTGGAAACTGCAGATCAGCAAAGGTCACTTAAAATTTTGCAGACTGAGTTGTTGCTAGGGAATATTTGGGAATAAAAAAGAGGGCCAGTTTAACAGAGAATCATAATTTTAAGTATGTAGATGCATGTTACTTCTGCTTAAAATTAGAGAAGATTGAGGATATTTAAATGGAGATTAGCGTAATTGTTCATTTTTCACCAAAACTAAAATAGGTGGAGAATAAAGTATTTAACAGGTCAATATTTAATCTGAGTTTGGTTTAGTTGAAGATTTAAGGCTAAAAATAATGGAGTTTTTAATCACTTCTTTGTCAAATAATTATGGCCTGAAAAAGAAGTCTTACTCATTTGAGTAACTCTTCACAGTCTGAGACAAGCTATTTTTGGAATGATAGGTTATAGTACAGTGATTGTTTGAAATCTCTTCATTTCATTTACATTAGTAAAAACTTGCTCATACTATCATACCTACCTAGAATCCTAAAATTCTCCCTTCTGAGTGTCCTTGAAATACTGAGAAGGGTCTTCAAGAGTCCACTTGGGATTAAATGATCTCAGGAGGCTAAGTAAGGAATTTCAAATGCAGAAGAAAAAATCTGCATTAAAAATTTTTTTAAAGGAAAAATAGCAAGTTTGGCTATTTAAGTACTGTTAAAAGGCCAGGTATTAAAAACAAGTGCAGACTTTATCAAAGCATTACTAAAGGCAATTAACTTTAAAGTACAACGGTTTCAATTGAAAAGGAAAGAGAAGATGAATCATAATTTTTCCTGCAACCAACAATATTAAACTCAAACAAAGTTGGCCAAGTTCTCAGCTAACCTGGAAGCTCAGTGCTGTGAGCTGCTTCTGTGCACCCTGGACTTGCAGGATTTGGGCTGGTGCTGAGGGGGAGCCCGTTCTGAGCATTGCCCACAACAGGAAGGATCTGCTCCGAGGTGATTTACACTGAGCTGAGCTGCTGCTAAAACTGCTACCAAGGGAATGCCTAATACTTCTCAAAGATGATTTTGTTGGGAGGGGATAAAGGAGCAGCTGACTGTTGCATTTGTGTGTGTGAAACATCAGTGCTAACCTTGCAGATATGCATGGTTATCCTGAGGATGAATTCCTGTATTTGTCATTTGTTTTTCCCCTTCTCTGGCATATTTTGTGTACCATGTAAGGTTTTAAGTGTTTGTTTCCATTTGGTATTTCAGAGAATATGAAGGGAGGGCTTGAGAAAAACTGAAGAAGTTTTTTTTTTCTGCTCAAATGTTCTTGTTATGATGCCTGTTCTTTTTTTTTTTTCACAGTAAGGATTTATTGTGTATACTCAGATGGAACTGAAATACATATCATGTGTTCTAATGTACTTAATATCCTGATTTGTTCATACTTGGAAGAAAACATAATGCCAACTTTTAATTAAATATAATATATTGTTTTCTAACCTCGCTTAGTTTTTCTTTGAACTACAAGACTGAGCAGCAAGGAGTGTCAGAAAGAGGAAATGCTGCTTCACTGTCTGCTGCGTTTTTTAACTTGTGTAATTCTTGTCCCTAACAAAATGAAAGTTTTACTAACCAACATATATAATGTCACTAATAGGGGATTGGAAACTGCTGTCAGCTTGCACTGCATCAGCCCAGGTTTAACATTATCAAGGTAAAATATTCCTTAACCAAATACAGGGAAGCAACAGGTTCGAAGATGGAAGGCCCAGAATGAAGCTGTCTACCTCAGAGACCAGCAAAAAGTTAAATAAGTTGAAGTTCCTGGAAAGAAGTGTGAGAATCATGAAGCTTTCCTTGTCCTTTGATCCATATCTCTGATTTTATGGCATTCTCTCACAATACCTGAATACTGCTGCACGCTGAGCTTGTTTCCAAGGCTTTAGAAAGTGATCGCTTTCTGTTCTCAGATCGCTTTTCTGGTGTTGTTCTTTACATATACGTTTCTATAATTTCCATTTTCCAGGGTGAAATGAACGTAGGGCTCAGCCCTGGTGCTGTTTTGTAAATTGGCAGCGTTGGTGATATTGGTGACAGCGAGACGGGGCTTGGCACTGCAGGGCACAGTGGTGATTTCTGACCCAACCAGCCACCTTTAAGAGGCTTCAGAGGCCCAGAAAAATGTGTAAAAATATTATACCATTATTATATCAGCCTTGTAGCAGGTGTAAAGTGCAGGGCATGGTGGATAAACGCCTCACTTTAAAGCTTTCGTGGCTTTTCAGCCTGAACCTGCTCGTCAGTCGTGGCACATCCCACCAGGCTGAGTCCTCACATGCAGCAGTTCGCCACAGCTGGAATTATCTAGTTTACAGTTTAAGACAACAAAACCAAGCATTCCATGATTCACTTGCACAGCATTGTGTTCATCAATTGTGTTCCTCCAGTGGACTCTTGAAAACAAGAGGCTGGACACTGCAGCATTACTGAAACTTGTTTTACCTGCCCTTGTTCCTTGCCATGTGAGTTATCAGCAGAGAAATCATTGCTTTGGTCTGAATCAGTGAAAATGCTTCTGAAGAATGCTAAAATACACCAACGAATACTTTCAATTTTCAAAACTGCTTTTATATTGTTCTCTGTCATTTGATAGAATTTTGATTAGTATTGCACAGTAGAAAAGTTGGGGGGGGGTTGTTTTCACTAATCCTGATTAAGGCTAGAAAAGACTCTTGATTACAGTAATTTTAATAATGTAAATTTGTTTGTGATATGTCTTTAGTCTTTAATCCCCTTTAGCATTTCATTCAAAGGGAGATGAAAATTTCAGGGATTTATAACATTTAAATCAGTCATTCCATGAATGTTTCTCAGGCGGTTTTTCTCCTACCTAAAATAAAGAAATGCCAAAACGGGTATGTAACATATTTTGTGATCAGATTAGAAATACATTTGCATGTGTTTTTTGTGGGAAAATAGCTTAATATCAAGCACTTTCTC